GGGGGGGGGGGGGGAAGGGGAGGAGAAAAAGGTATTTGCACGGGGAAACTGCAGTTGATTGGGAGGGATTTGAATTCCCAGCTGTTCGTACGGCTCCTCTCAGACCCGGCATGGCTGTGGGCAGTTTGCAAGTGTCCCTTGGCTGTTTTTTTATTACTCCAGTGTTGTTAGCCTCCTCCCCAGTTGGTATAAATGGACCCCTGCGACACGGTGTGAAAACCTCCCCGAGTGGTTGCAGATAACTTGTCTACACTAAGGCTCCTCGTGGTGCTAACACTGGTAGGGCTGAGTCAATGCTAGCAAAGTCGGGGGCTATGTAATCCGGCCTTCAGAGAGCAGAGCCAATGGGGCAGGGGTGCTCCAGATCTGCAGAGCTGCATGTGAAGCAGCTCGGCCTGATCTAGTGGTTTATCAGCCACTGGAGGAGGATGAATAGTTAAAATAGGCTGTGCTCGATTTTTTTTTTTCTATTAGTTGGGCAGGGAGGTTGGTGGGGGAGAAGCTTGGCTGACGATCAACATTTTGGTGGGGTTCTTTTGAGAAAAGAGTATTTTTCATTATTCAGGTTTGGTTTTTTTTAAAATGTAATGATCAGTTGCCAGTTAGTTTTTTTTATTGTTTTTTGTTCTTTCTGTAGAAATGCAAATACTTTTTTTCTTTTTTTAATGGAAGCAGGGAAACGCCCCCCCTTTTTTTTCTTTCCCAAAGCATTTTTGAGGGAATTAATCTAATGGTCATGCTATATTTCCTTTCCCTGCTCACTGGGACTCTCTCCATCCAGCTGTCCTGAGCTGATTGGCACTTGTGCCTTTCCACATGCTAAGGTAGATGTGCTGTTAACTCTGTCAGTACCAGCTCTTGGGGTTTGTGTGTTCTTCCAGACAAGGTTCTTTGAATAAATGTGATATCTTTTTATTAGACCAACTGAGTAGTTTATTGGGGGGGGTTTGGTGGGGAGAGGGAGTTCTTTGTGAGCTTTCCAGCGTGAATAAGTATTCATCTCCATAAAGGTAGTATGTGGTCTATTAACTGATTGACCCTCATAATAATTCTCTTAAGTAGCCAGGTATTAGCATCATATCTCATGAATGAGGACATTGAGGTCTTGAGAGTGTGTGAATAATTCAACCTTTATTGTAACTCCTGATTTGATGGCTGTTGATTAAACTAAACTACCAGCTTCCCAGAACATGTATAAACCAAATAGGTTGTTGGCCTGTAAATTAGAAGTGAGCAAGACTGTGCTTACGCACACTATATACTGCTGAAGAACAGACCTCTTGAACAGCTGCTACTAGGCTGCATCTTCATTATATTCCCATCACTACATTACAAGTGTCTGGAGGATCATGTTAAATGATGTGTCCTCAGCTTTTGAGTGTGAGGCCAAACCTTTGTTGCTATGTGCCTACTCCTTCTACCTAGACATTTCTCAGCTTGATACATAGCTGTCTGCTGATATCTCTGTTTGGTAGTTAACTCTGTAGCACCGTCTAATCATTTCATTTAAAAACATGATATAAGGTTGTCTGATGGGCTGCATGAAGGGTGCTACGCAGAGCAGTTTCAGCTGGAAGGGCAACCATCCCTATTCCCTACCTGTCACCAGCCAAATACAAAGTGTCATCCTATGATCTGATCCATTTAATCTATGCATCATTTAGGGGGAGGGGTTCACAGCACCTGCCTGCGTGGTTTTGAGGCCATATCACTGCACTCAAGGTGAGGCCATTAAAAAAAAAAATCCCACTCTCCTCTTCCAGACAACAGGCTAGTGTTTCACTGGGTGACACCCTGGCTCGCTCTCACTGTCGTGCCCTGATGGTCCTGGTGCTGGTCTTCATCGCAGTCCCTCCGCTTTGGCCTTGTTCGTGGTGATGCCTCGCTTATCCTGTGTCTTGGTTCAGTAATTTAAGGCAACCTAACTGGTTGAAGGCTGTAGCCCTTTGCTGGGGTCAGGGCATTTAGCAGGGACTGCAAGAAAAACACGGCTGTGCTGTAGTGATAGCAGCTATCCTTCAGAGACACTCCCTAGTTTGGGAGCTGGGGGGGACTCTTCACTAGGGGTAGTTAGTTTGCCAGTTCAGTGATTCTCAACCCTGCTCCTGACCCTTTCCAGCCGTGGCTTTCACCCTGTGCAGCCGGGTCAGCGCGCGGCCGCATCCCATGCGACATCCTGTTTAAAACATTGTGTGTGAATGGAAGTAAGCTGGAGGCGACCCCCACCTAACCCGGAGAGCTGCAGTGCAACTAGGTTGAGAGCCCCTGCTTTAACGGCTGAGGGGATGAGCCGGGAGGGCAGGAGATGAAGGCTGGCCCGGCCTGTGTGACCCCTCTGCGAGGGGGGAGCGCGGCAGCAGGCCAAGGAGCTTCTGAAACGGGCCCCGCGGCGCGGCTGAGCCCCCGAGGGCGCCCCCGGCTCCACAACTGAAGCGCGCAGGGTGCTGGGGCGCCCCCCCCGGACATTCCACAGCTGCGGAGCAGCCCACTTCCTGCGCGGGGGGGACGACTGCTCAGTCTCCCATGACACCCCGGCCAGGCAGACAAGCCCCTCCTCCTCCTCCCCCCCCCCCCCGGGGGGCCGGGGGGGGGCCCCCGCCCCCCCCCCCCAGGG